CATACCTGTCACACACACACCTGTGCATTGTCACACCTGTCACACACACCTGTACTGTGTCACACCTGTACTGTGTCACACACACCTGTGCTGTGTCAGTCACACCTGTACTGTGTCACACACACCTGTATCACACCTGCGGCACTCACCTCGCCCACGTACGAGCCCCACCCACAGCTCCTGACCCACCCCAACAGGGGAGCCACACCTTGCAGGTAAGCCCCACCCCCCCAGGTGAGCCCCACCCACAGCTCCTGACCCACCCCAACAGGTGAGCCACACCTTGCAGGTAAGCCCCACCCCCCCAGGTGAGCCCCACCCACAGCTGAGGGAAAAGGTGATGAAAGCTCCACCCACAAGGTAGCTAAGGCCACACCTCTGCACAGGTAAAGGCCCAGCTGTGGGCAGGTAAACCCACACCTGAGCCATGTCCAAGTAAACCACACCTGAGCCCAGGTAAACCCACACCTGTGTCCAAATAAACAACACCTGTGTCCAGGTAAACCCACACCTGAGCCCAGGTAATCCCACTCCTGAGTCCAGGTAAACCCACCCCTGAGTCCAGGTAATCCCACTCCTGAGTCCAGGTAAACCCACCCCTGAGTCCAGGTAATCCCACTCCTGAGTCCAGGTAAACCCACCCCTGAGTCCAGGTAATCCCACTCCTGAGTCCAGGTAAACCCACCCCTGAGCCCAGGTAAGCCCCACCTGAGCCCAGGTAAGCCGCACTCACGCTGTGGTTGACGAAGTGCGAGATGTTGCCGTAGTGGGCGGCGTCCACGGTGTACACGTCCTCCACGTAGTCCAGGTCGAACAGGTACGTGGCGCCCTGGCGGTCGTACACCTGTCCCCGGCGCTCCGCCTCCTCCGAGGTGATGATCTGGGACAGGGACACACCTGTCACACACCTGGGCACACCTGAATCACCCCACACCCCTGTACTGCCTCACACCTGCACCACATCACACCTGGGGCACACCCGAACCATGTCACACCTGCACCACACCTGACATACACCTGTCCCACACCTGTATCACACCTGTCACACACACCTGCGGCACTCACCTCGCCCACGTACTCCATGACGAAGGAGTTCTTGCGGATGCGCTGCAGCGTGCGCACGCCCTGTCACACACACACCTGTACTGTGTCACCCCTGTCACACACACCTGTACTGTCACACATACCTGTGCTGTGTCACACACACCCCTGTACTGTGTCATACCTGTCACACCTGTGCTGCGTCATACCTGTCACACACACCTGTACTGTCACACATACCTGTGCTGAGTCACACACACCTGTACTGTTTCATACCTGTCACACCTGTGCTGTCATACCTGTCACACACACCTGTACTGTCACACACACCTGTATTGTCACACACACCTGTGCTGTGTCACACCTGTCACACCTGTGCTGTCATACCTGTCACACACACCTGTACTGTGTCACACACACCTGTCCCACATCTGCGGCACTCACCTCGCCCACGTACTCCATGACGAAGGAGTTCTTGCGGATGCGCTGCAGCGTGCGCACGCCCTGTCACACACACCTGTACTGTGTCACACACACCTGTCCCACATCTGCGGCACTCACCTCGCCCACGTACTCCATGACGAAGGAGTTCTTGCGGATGCGCTGCAGCGTGCGCACGCCCCAGCCGCGCCCGTCGCCGGTGCGGAAGATGCACAGGTCGTAGCGGATGCCGCGCTGCACCACGCGGTTGGGGCACTCGGCGCCGCAGCGGCAGCGCGAGTTGCACTCGTAGATGGGCAGCCCCGCCCGGATGCGCACCTGCCCGGCCTCGTTGTAGGCGAACCTGTTGCGCGAGGCGCCCGGGCAGCAGCCCCCGGCCAGCGTGGCCTCGGCCAGGCAGTCCCGGCACTCGCAGCCGGCCGCCACGGGGGTCAGCGCCACGCCCGCGCCCACCTTGTACTCGTTGACGTAGACGAAGTCGCGGGGCGGCCCGTGCAGGTCCACCTCGTTCTCCACGGCGATGCGGCCGCGGTGGCTGCGCGTGCGGTTCAGGTGGCGCTCCCAGCGCCGCAGCGCCCGCCGCTGCTCCGCCTTCTGCGCCAGGTAGGACACGGCGCGGGCG